CATTCTAAGTCCTTATTCTACCTTAATTTAGCAACATTAAAAGACAACCGTTTTTTAAAAGTAATAACCTTTTAGCCCCTGTCCTGAATAAGTGGAGATGTACCTGTACCACCCCTGGAAGAGATCAGAGGAGATGGAGCTCTGAAAGGGACACAACTCACATTCTGCCTTGTACTTGCCAACTTTGCTGTCTGGTATACTGCTGGGAATGAGGGAAATGTGGGGAGTAGTTGGCACACTTGGCTCATCCCAATTCCCCACACTCTGTCCACTCACTTGCCTACAATGACTGAGCGCCACATAAGTGGCACAGGGCAGTCTTAACACAGCATGCAAAGAGGTATGTGGTCCTTGTTACTGACCCATCTCTCTCACCCCCATCTGCTTCACAGCCATGTTAGGCCTTCTGACAATTTTGACTACGGCTGATATAAAAGGAAGCCGTGGAATGCACTGCAACAAGGTATCAGCAAAGAGCATGGCAGGTTGCAGGAAAAGACTAGACAATGACATGAATAAAGAGGATATCATTCAGAGCTATGCAAAATCCAGTGAAAACTGTAAAGGACTTCAAAAAAATTCATTTTTCAGACATAAGGCAACTGCTAAACACCTAGGATGAGGGAAAAGATTCCCCAATGGATATGTTAATGCCATAATTGTTCATCATGGGTTTTTCACTCTTGGAAGCAGCTGATGATGCCAACAATGAAAAATTGAACTAGAGGGACCACTGGTCTGATCTGGTATGTCAATCACAAGTTTTCTATGCTACTTCTTACTCCGACTCCTATAACCCTCATTGTACGAGAAGTAAGGGAAGTCGGAGGAAGAGTGCTCTATTTCAAAATAAATGCTGTGTAGACACTCCCTATTTGACGTAGCTCAATTTGCATAGCTTATTTCAAGTTAAGCCGTGCACTGTAGATGCACCAGAGGTTAGCTACTAGCTAATCATGCTCCATCCTCTTCCCTCTCTCTTCCCCTTCCCTATGGTTGTGACTGTGCAGAGGGTGTAATGATGGAAGTTAGGTTTTATGAGCTTTTCTATTATAAAGCAAGGTTTATGTCATTATTTGTGTCTTTATGAGAAAAGGGCGTCTTCAGCTGTGCTTCCATTCCCTCATCTTTTTCTTTCCTATCTTGTTCTTTGTGGAAAAACAGGCCAAATCATTACTAAAATATGTACTGATGTGTCTTATGGTAGCGTTTAGAGGCCCCTGTAGAGGATCAGAGTCCCATTGTACCAGGCACTGTAGACATGTAACAAAAATCTGATTCTTGATCCAAAGAGCTCACAATATATGTACAAAATGAGAAGCAACAGGTGAAGGCAAACAAGGCAGCACAACTACAGCCCTGCATGGACACAAAATTGGTATCCACATATCTACACCCATGGATACCCATGGATATAAAGCCGGTATCTGGGGATTTGCAGAGCTCTAAAGATAACACTATGATTAACATAATAAGCAGCATTTTTAAAAGCAGACACATGGCCCAAGGTGGTAACTAATGCCTTTTATTGGTTATAAAAATAATGTTGGAAAAGACCGGTCAGGGTCTTGTTTCCAAAGACCTCCTAATTATGTACATGCAAAATTTCCATGCTTGTTCCTGTGCCTGCATTTGTGCATATGTGCAAGATAACTAGGGATGTGAATGTGTAACCATGTACACAGTTAATTGATGAGCCTGGATTCATAGGTTAACCTTTGTGGTTACATGCAAGCTCCCAATAACGTGTGCGGAGCTGTCTTAAAAGCTTACAAGCCAGCTCCCTATGCACACTGGTTCCAGGGAGCCATGGGCCGTCCCGCATGTAACCACTGACATTTTCAGCAGTTACACGGTTACTTAATTAAACACATTTTAACATCCCTAATAACTACATACAATTAATTTGCCCTGTACATAAAATGGGAGCCTTTTCAAACTGTGCTCTTTAATTGCCAATTCGTTAGTAGTGTCAGTAAGTAGGCTAAGAAATGATTTGGTATGGAGACTATACTGCCCTCTCCCAAGGGACAGACTTTCCTGGTCAGGATTCATACATTAAGGCCTGGTCTATACTAGACCAAGCATCTTGGCTTAAAGTACGCAACTCCAGCTACGCAAAATGCTTACCTTAAGCCAAGACATGGCAGCGTCCTCACAGCGGGATGCCAATGGGAATGTTTTCCTTTCACCTCACAGTAAGAGGAGTACCAGACCCTAGCGGGGGTTGCCCTCAGCATTCGATTTACTGGTCTATACTAAAATCAAACTGCTGAATCAAACGCTAGAAGATCACCCTCTGGAGCGTCGATCTTCTGGTAAGTATAGACGTGCCTTAAGGAAGGTATGAAGAAGCATGTACTGCTGCACACAGCTTCTGTGAGTAAAGACGATTTTAGTTTCCAGAAAACCCTCCACAAGCAATAAAAATTATAAAACACGTTTACAGGTACCTCAACATATCAGGAATTACCTACTGCTTTTTAGTATTTAAAAACAGCATAGAAGGAGGAGTTACTGGACATACTCAGTTACTACTAAAGAATATTATATGAAAAGTAAAATTTCACTAAAATCCAGACCCTTCCTCTCTGTTATAGATAGGGTTAGCAGAATTCAATTTTTATTATAACTGACCAGTAATATTAATGTTTATTTTGAAGGTTTTTTTCCAATTGTTGGTGATTTCAATTTTAACAGTTGTGCAAAATTAAGAATTTTAAGGTTGTACTTTTCCATTTTTATTTGATTTAAATTTTCATTCTTTTGGGAAATTATGGGGAGAAGACAAATTATTTAATGATAGCAGACACATTCAAAATGTTAAAGCTTTAAAACCATCAACACAAACTGACAACATCACACTTCAAAATATAAAGTACATATTCTTAAATAAAACTGTAATAAATGTTCAGGTGAAATTTTTCTTACTTTGCCTATCTATAACTTTCAGTTATCATTGATGGAAATATTTTTGTTGGCTTGTTTGTATGCACAATGAAATCAATGTTTATTGACATTTACGAATACATATCTAATCCTTCCAAACTTAATTATAGGGTTTCTGCAGTTTCACACTCTTCCTGTCCTCTCCAAATATACGGACAGCCAAAGCAATTTTACCTTTCTTAGTGAAAATTCTGAAACTGGATTGCTTCGTATGTTTCACTTCTAATCTGGTGCTACTTTAATGACCATAGACCCAATTCTGACTTTTTTTTATGATAGGCATTTCCAGAAGTCTCTGTTAATCTAGGCAGTAGGAGAATTTGTCTAAACATTTTAAAATTCATAATTTGTTTAGGACGCAAGATTGCAGTCAAACACTGGAATAAATTGCCCAGGGAGGTTGTGGAATCCCCATCTCTGGAGATATTTAAGAGTAGGTTAGATAACTGTCTATCAGGGATGGTCTAGACAGTATTTGGTCCTGCCATGAGGGCAGGGGACTGGACTCAATGACCTCTCAAGGTCCCTTCCAGTCCTAGTATTCTGTGATTCTATGATTAATTGAAAAGCTGTAAAATAGGATAGTTTCTCTTTTTGTTGAGTTGCTCTATTTTTCCCTATCATTAAGGAAGGTTAAGTAGGGCCTGCTAAGAACTTTGAGGTCCTTGGATGAAAGATGTTACTAATACCCGAACAAAAGGAAAGCAAACAAAAATCTTCATGTTAATGTCAGGTCAAGAGAGAACCTTTAACCCACAAAAGCAGAAGTAGAAAGTGACCGTAAAGTTTTTCCCTAATGTACCGCCAGAGGCTCAGCCACCAGCCCTTAAAACTCTGTAATCTGAAACGGTGTATATTCTGCACTTGCATGACACAGAGGAATATACTAAGAGCAAAGACATAGTCTCAGCTCTGAAAGTGTTTACTTTTATAAGCCTGATTAAACCCCTCTCTCTGTACCTTAGTATTATTTCTATTGTCTTTGTATATACTGACCTCAATGTTGAGGTCTATCCAGGACTCAAGTGGAGGTGGAGAGCCAAAGGTAGGTTTGTGTTATGCTCCAGTAGTCTGCAGTTGTTAGAACAGCCCCTTGGGGCTACTGCAAGTGGCTATACATTAGTGCAGGTCTGAGGCTGCTTTAACTTATGAGAGTAGTCAATTGGACCTTGGCTGGGGGCTGAATGAGGACCCTTGCACAAGGGGGACACAGCATGCTTTGAGCACATTCTTCTCCCCAGTGTTAGAGACTATGGCATAGAGCCAGCTTGCTAGATTTATGCCATCAAAGGATTCCAATGCACCAGAGCAATCGCAGCTGTCTGTTTTGGACACATCAAGACTGTGATTTGCTCCCAGAGTTGCACAAAGCAGACCTTATTAGGGACAAGGACCTGTCCCATTAAAACTGTAATTAATCACAATATTTAATTAGCTGGTTAATTCTCAGAGAGGGTTCACTCACTGGAATGCACTAAGTTAAAGTCCCTATTTATGAATTACTTTAAAGTGTTAAATTCTTTTCTAATTCAGATGCCTTTTCTGAACTATAGATAAAATACTTACTAGGGAGGGGTAAACAATTATTTAAACCAAAAATTTACACATTTGAAGCACATAGCTTTGAGGAACGCAAAACCTTAAAAAATTCAACCTGTAAATGTTATACTGTGGGTAATGATGCGCAAGTAACAAAACTCCCGTTTTTTTCTTATTGTCTCACCATGCAGTAATAGCCTAAGACACTCTGCAAGTAAACAGAGCTAAAGAGTTTTGAAACTTGTCCAGCCTTGTGTACTCTTGGCACAGCAACATAATGCCATAGTATACATTAGGGACTGAACCTGCAACCCATAAGCATACAGAACTCCCATTTGGCCGAATGGGAGATTTGTGTATCAGCTGCTTTTCTGTTCAAGGTAATCAAATTCCCCATCATGTAGACAATGAAATTGTACAACAATATCCCAAAACATTTTAGAATAAGTTGTGATCGAATCTTCGAGACATATCTGCAACTCCCTTTTCCAACTACACTTAACTATTATCTGCAACTCCCTTTTCCAACTACACAACTATTTTTTTCAATTTTTGTAATACTTCCTAAAGCTAGAAAATTCAAATCTTATTTTCCTGGTTTGTCTTATTCCTCATTGTATAAATATGATTTTAACTGTGGTTCTGATGGAACTAAAATGAAGGCTCTTATTTATGCCTGTATTTTCCCATTAATACCATAGATCATGTTTGCATTGTTCTGGGAACAATGAGGTGCTCCCTTTTATCTTTAACATGAGTGGGATTTATGGGCACATAGCAATGGGCAACCAGACACCTTAGCAATACCACAAAACAGTTATTTAAAAGATATATTTATATCTAAGTAACATTTTTTCATAAAAAAGAAACTTACTTTGCCTATTGGGAAAATGTGTTATGGCTTGTGGGGGTTTCTATAGTCTCTATATTCTTAGGAATTCTTCTGTATTATGAAGAATTTATACTAGTATTAATTTTCTTTTTCCTTGTTTAAACAGCATGATCTCTCTTCTTAAGTAGAACTGTATCTAAGAATTATTTTTATAGTGCAGTCACTTATTAGCCTTCTGCAATGGAAAGTTTAATTGTGGTTATAAATGGAACTTGAAGCATTTTCTGGTTTTGGAAAGTGCCAGAAACATGTAGGACTACAAACTGCTTCAGTCAAATTCAAAGTATTTGAGGAGGGAACTGCCCTTTAACAGAGAGCAATCCTTATTAAACAGCAGTGTTGTGACGATACCTTGACATCGAGTTCAAAAACAGCACTTACAGATGTGCTATCTGCATCACAAGTATTTAACAGACGATATTCCCCCAACTTGTACATTATAAATCGAAGAAAATTATACAATAAATAATCTGAATCTATATATCCATCACTAAATTCTCCCCCCCCAACACACACACACAATTTACAAAAGTATTTTTCATTAAACTAGTAGTTACATTGGAAGTGATTTGTTACTTGCTCCTTGATTATTCTTAATTATTTGGCACATCTTTATAGGTCAAAGGAGAGGTTATTTCCTTGCTGAAAAGATGAAATTGTCAACAAAGCAGCTAGATGATAATGTGATATGAATTCCAACAGAAAATGCATCCATTCCGAGGAACTCTAACAAATTCTCACTATTTTCCATACGTATCCAGCTGTGATCATGGGGTTCCCATCAATAAATAAAAGGTCAGTGCAACAATAAGAAGCAAACAGAATGGAGAAGAAAAGGTCTGATAGGCAGCTGATGGCATAAAAATGTCTTCATACTTGTAAATACTGACAACACGTTCTGATACAGGTGGTGAGTCTATGTCATGCCGAGTTATAGAACCTTTAATAGGCAAAGAATAAAAATAGAGATGAGCATAGCATGTGAATTAAGCCACTTCTGATTTTCCTTTCTTTCCCCCTAGATTACCTCACCTCCTCTTATTGCTAGTTACTATACTTACAAAAAATTTTCATAAGTTTAAAAAGTTTAAAAAGTTTCTAGTCAAACAGCAAATCTTCAAAAAAACAAAACAAAACAACCCATAGCATTATATCAACCATTAACAGAGCCAGAAGTTAAAACTCTGAATAAATCATACAAAACCTGAACAACAAACTATGAACAATAACCTTCAAAAGAGTCATGAACTTGTCGTTCTGAAGCATCTACAATCAATTTTAGCTTTTTCAAGTAGAGCTAACCAAAATGGCTAGCTAAAGAATTTACATATGACATAAATAGACAGTGCAAAAGACAACATCTTTTGCAAGCTCTTTTAATTCCTTTTACAGTAATGGAATAGACTGAAAAATGTAGTCCTGGCTACATACCATCAACTTACCTTGAATTGCTGGACCCCATGCAAACAAATAATACCAGCTTAAGTGAAGATCTACAATAGTTTCATCTCTGGGAACATACACAGGACGTTTAAATCTACAAGTCACACGGTTGTTTTCAAAAACCCCTTCTTCATCTCTGGCTGGATTTCTCTGGATCTCTTTAGCCCACTGGCCAACATTATAAAAGTGCTGAATTCGGACCCTTCCATTGTCATCATGAACACAAGCCATAACGTCATCTCCACCCTACATGGTAAGAAAGAAACAAGTCAAAGTTCTACCTTTTGAAAGTTTTACTTTTGCGGGGGGAACCCTCAAAAACATACAGTAAGTTTTTTTCCTATCCACAAGAGTATTCACGTTGCATAATTTTCACTAATAACACTCTAGTTCCCCCTTTCATTGTACACACCTCTGGATTCTTCCTCATGCAGATTGTGCCGCAAAAAGTCAATGTTAATATTTCCTTTTCCTATCTGTTTCTGGTTATGCAAGGCACTTTTTATTTTCCTCAAGAGTTATTCTCCCCAAGAAATACACTAAAATTCTAGCAGGATGGCAACTTCCTGACACAAGCAAGAAAAAAGAACAGAACTTTCCGGGTGAAAAGTTCATTACATTAAATGCTATATAATCTAAATCAGCAGCAAACAAATCTAAAGGGATAGTTGCATAATTGCAAAGAATCCACTTTAGGAACAACACTACTGAGTTAATTTTTCCCCCATATGACATATGACCTAAATGCAAAGTAGGAATTCAGTTAAACAAATGGAATATAAAATATTAATAAAACTAATCAATGGCATATTTTCTTCTGCACACTTTATAGGTAATCAAAATAGAAACACAATCAGGGAAACAAATAAGTGGATAAAAAGGTGTTATGACAATTACCCACATAGGTTATTCACAGAAGTACAGGCAGTCCCCGGGTTACGTACAAGATAGGGACTATAGGTTTGTTCTTAAGTTGAATTTGTATGTAAGTCGGAACTGGCTCCAGATTCAGCCGCTGCTGAAACTGATCAGCGGCTGACTACAGGAAGCCCTCGGCAGAGTTGCTCTGCCCCCGGCTTCCTGGAATCAGCCGCTGATCAGTTTCAACAGCGGCTGAATCT